GATGTGCCATATGCATAAAATGTGTTGAGTACTAGGAAAGATTTTCTCAATAGCCTTCATTAATGCCAGTTCTCGGTCGGTAACTATGACACTAGGGTGAGACAATTCGCTGAATATTTTTGACACACAAGTCAAAGCCCACTCGTAATTAACCTCTGTTTCATCACTTAGGAAAGCAAAGCAAAAAAAAAGGTTGTGTTGAAACTTGATACACCAATAACATTCATTAGAGGTATACGATATTTATTGGTCTTGTACGTGCAATCAATAAGTAGCACAGTAGGGTAAGTACGAGTTAGAGAAATAGATATCCTGTGTGCAAAAAAAAGATTTGTTATATGATTTTGGTGATCACATTGATATTCAAATTCAAAGTCGGATCCTTGCAGTTCATCAATAAGGGCTTGTACTGGCGTACGACCGTTAAGTCTTTCTTGGCGAATGGAATATAAGGTGTTATATATTGTTCTGAATATAGCTATTGAGGAGGGATCATTCTGATGAATGGTTGCTAAAATTTGACATAGACAGGAACCAGCAGCTGACATTCTCTAAACTTGTTCCTGTTGCTCAACATTTAATCTTCGAATGATTAGGTGACCAAATATATCAACTGATGCTTCATGGTTATGTTCAGAGTTTCAAATTTCAAGATACCAAATATTTTCATGTCTAACTTCATAAAGTTCAAATGGACAACCCAAAAGCCTTGAGGCTGTCTGTCTACAACGTGAATTATCTGTTAAATTTAGTCTGTTCCTATAGAAACCACTTCTATCGCAACCTAATGTCATATTTTTGATTTCGCCATTTTTATCTGCTCGTGACCTTTTTATCATTACTGCATATCCTTGGGTTTTAGAAAGGCTTGTACATATTCAAGAAGTTCATTACAGTTGAAAAATTGATTAGATGGAGGTGGAAGCATTTGGTAAGGGATAGGGTATGCACTATATATATTATGATGAGTTCTAATAGTTTAATAACTATAATTAATTAACCTAACTTTTCTTCAAACCCTTTTTTTATTTTAGTTTTACTAACCAATTTGTATTATATTAAAAATCTCACAATA